GATAGTGGTGGGTGAAGAAGCCTCCAAGAACCTGAGGAATAGTGTGTGTTTCATCGGTGCTATTCTTTGCCCTGGTTGACGCATCCCTTTCTTGTGACCCTTCTGAGAGGGTGATCTATTGTCTACAGATGGGTTTTGGGTCTTTGCTCCAACCCCCCTCGTTCTCAACAATATGGTTTTCTTTTTTATTTGGGGTCTTCTGGTGCCTGTTCCCAGATTCCATCAACATCTTATTATCGCACAGGCTGGTGTGCTTCTTCCATGTGGGTTTGCTGCTTCTCTGGTACATGGCCAGTTGTTTAACTGCAAGCCATAAGACCCCAGGCACTATATATTTTGATAGCTGGGCACCATCAGTTTTCTTCACCACATTTGTTTGTGCATCCATTTTGTCTTCGGAGATCTTGCTGGAAGGGTGAGCATCACAGAATGCCAGGTTGCTAGAACAAGTGTTCTTGTTCAAATTTGTCCACTTCCTCAATGTATTGCATATAAATATATGTACATGGGCCACTACCTCTATTTTTATGGATTAATATGTTCACACTGATGTGTATGCCTCTATCCATAGCTTTGCTTACTAGACCTTTCCTCTGTTTTATTTATTTATCATTTTATTTGGGGGGAGATCTTATACAAACCTCTCTGCGTTGGCTGCTCGGAGCAGGGGTGTCATCCCTGGGGTTTGGTGGGCCATGATGAGTTTCTCTTCTCGCTTTCGCTCTCGCTCTTAGTTCACACCTGTGTGGTCTGAACAGACCCACCACTCTCCCGGGGCTATATCTTCAGTGTTGTCCTCTGTATTACATCCTTCTGGGGAGGGGTCAGCATAGCTTGGCTGTCTGTTTTCTCTAATGTTCCACCTGCCCCACCATCATGCTCGCCCTTCTTCTGCCTCTTAGTGACTCCCATGCTAGATTGCTATTGCTCCAACACCACTGGAATCTACATCCTCCTCCTTGTTGTTTTTAATTCCCTAGTAGTTCCCCTGTCTATGGCTTTGTTTGCTTACCGCTCCTTCTCTCCCCTCCCCTCCCACCCTCATCCCTCCGGAACCGCTGGCCCCATTGCTTTCTCTTCCGGCTTGCTTCCTACGCCTGTCTTATATATGTAGGCAAAACAACAGTAATGGAGACAAAACAATAGATTGAATAAAAAGAGCATAAAGAAAAAAAATAGCACCCAAAAAACCCAAACCAGAAAAAGCAGACATAATTCCAGGTCTGTCTGCTGACCTTTATGACTGCCTCCCACTGGTCCTGGGGGTTCCAGGACCTGCCCCTCCTAGTAGGAAGTCTATTTTGGAGGCTCCTCAGGGGGTTTGTGGCTTTGCGTGGCTCCCATTTCTCACCTGTTATGTTCCCTGGTTCACTGTGGGGTGGTCAGACCAGACTTACTCCCTGCTGTGTGTCCCCAGTACTGTCCTCTGTCAAGGTATGCTCCAGAGAGGGGACATCATGTCTCGAGCTGTTGGGGGCCCTACAGTCCTCTCCGTGCCTGGGCAGCTCCATGCCGAGCGTCATCCTCAGGGCTTGGTGGGCCAGTATGGGGTCTAGTCCCTCGCTCTCTGTTTCCTTCTTGGTTTGCTTCTGTGTGGGTGTGGCAGGCCGGCCCCTCTCCCCACCTGTAGGTTTAGTGTTGTCCTCTGCAGCAGGGGGTGAGGTAGAGAGGGTGTCAGGTTGTGATTGGGGCTAGTCCCGTACACCTCTCTGTTCATGAATTGCTCCATGTGGTTAGTGCTGCCCTCAAGGTTTGGCGCAGTGCTGGGGTCTGCACTCACACTCCCATTTCTGTGGAGACATAAATCATACTCCCCGGGGGGTGTGGGGTGTGAATTAGTGTCCTATTCCCCTAGTGCCATTGTCTCCCTCTTTTTCTCCCCACCTTTTTCCCCTCTACCCCCATTTCTCCTTCTTTGTGTTGGAATGACATGTACATTCTTGGGTTTGGTCTGTCCCCTGGGAAGGTAACTCTAGAAGACTAAAGAGCCTCCTTTCTCTGCTGCCGATCAGTTGGTGGTTTTCAACTGCCGACCTGGTGGTCAGCAGCCCAACTCGTAACCACTGCATCACCAGGGCTCCTGGTTGGAGATATTGTAAGGGTTAGAGTAAATTGACATCCTTTCTGGTTTGTGCATTTTGAAATGCACATACCATTTTATTTTTTTAAATCATTTTATTGGAGGCTTGTACAACTCTTATCACAATCCATGGATACATCCATTGTGTCAAGCACATTTGTTGCCATCATCATTCTCAGAACATTTGCTTTCTACTTGAGCCCTTGGTATCAGCTCCTCATCTTTCAAAACTAGCATCTAAAATGTCATCTGGGCAGATGAAATTCGTTTTTCTTTCTTCATTTTTTAAAAATCATTTTATTGGGGGCTCATATCGCTCTTATCACATTACATACATACATCCATTGTGTCAAAAACATTTGTACATTTGTTGCCATCATCATTTTCAAAACATTTTCTTTCTACTTGAGCCCTTGGTATCAAAAATGAGCTCCTCATTTTTCTCCCTCCCTCCCCCACCTGGGGCAGATGAAATTCTATGGGACTTTTGCCTTACTGAAATAATATTTTTTTAAAATAATTTTAAAGATGGATATTTTCCTTGAATTTTGAATAATAGCTATAATAGAAAGTAGCAGCAAGATTTATTCCAGACGTAGGACTTGCTATATATCTTGTAACCAGTGCTAAGACTCAGTTTTAAGGAGCCCTGGTTGCATAGAGGGTTATGTGTTGTGCTGCTGACTAAGTCAGCAGTTCAAATCCATGGGCTGCTCCGTAGGAGAAAGATGAGGCTTTCTGCTCTGCTGTGATTTACAGCCTTGGAAACCCACAGGGGCAGTTCTACTCCGAGTTGTAACCGACTTTGATGACAGTATTCTTGGATTTTGAGTTTGAAGACTCAGTTTTTCCTCTGTAATATGTTAGGTGGGGCACAGTTGAGCTGTGTTTTAGTTTCTTATGTCTGCCATAACAAAGTACACAAACCAGGTAGCATGTAAAAACAGCACTTCATTCTGTCACGGTTCTAGAAGCCAGAAATCTAAAGTCAAGGCCCTGACAGAGCCTCCCTTGCCTCCTCCCGCTTCTGGCAGCCCCAGTGCACCTTGGTTTATGGCCGCATCTCTCCCAGCTGTCTACGTCCTGTGTCTGTCTCTCTGGTGTAGGACCCACCCAGTTCCAGGATGCAGTTACCCTAATTCCAGTCTCACGTCCTGGAGGGACTTGCATTTCTTGGGCAGACAGTTCACCCGAGCCCAGGCTGGAATCCAGGCTCTAGAAAGTGTGCTGACGATGGTGAGGCTTTCTCCAGAGGTGCCTCATAAACACTGAGGGTGAAGGAGGACTCAGCCGGCAAGGCTCCGGGCCTCAGCCCACTTTGGCCCCTGGGCACCCTACTACTTCCTTCGGTTTTTGTATGTAGTGAGTGTCCTGTAAGGTTCACTTGATGAAAGGGCCTGTGTTTTTCAAAACGTTCCAAGACTTTGGGGTAGATCAGGGGCAGGAACTTTTTTCTGCCCAGGACCTCCTGGGTATTTATCATTTTCCGGCCATGTATCATCAACTTAAAAATCAGCCTGCTCTGTTTGCTCGCGCAACCCTAACGTGATGGCTGGAATTGCTCCTCTTAGGTGAGACGTGGTGGTAGCTGGTGTTGGGGATTTTGCAGGCTCACTGTAGCCACAGGCGGGACACTCCCAGCCCTGCTACAGAGGCGCCTGTGACTCTCAGCGCTCAGGGCTCCATGTTACCTTAGAGCAGCGGTTCACACCTTCCTCACGCTGCGACCCTTTCAAACAGTTCCTCACGTGGTGGTCACCCTCAACCATAACATTATTTCCGTTGCTACTTCATCACTGTCATTTTGCTACTGTTATGAATCATCATGTAAACATCTGATATGCAGGATGTATTTTCACTGTTGCAAATTGAATATATTTACAGCATACTGATTAATCACAAATCAATATGTAATTATATATTGTGAAATATTTATTTCTAATTACAAGTAAATGAAATGTTGTCTTGAAGCATGGTGTAGTGTAGGTAACAGTCCTCACGCCTGGTACTCGTATGTGGGCGGACCCGCCTGGAGACGGATAGAGGAGCGATGTCTCTGTTCCTAAGACCATGGGAAATATGTGTTTTCTGATGGTCTTAGTAACCCCTGTGAAAGGGTCATTTGACCCCTCAAAGGGGTCACGACCCACCGGTTGAGGAACCCGAGGTGCCTTAGAGGAACCCGAGGTGCCAGTCTCCAAGATCTGGGCATTAGGATGATGCTCCCTGCTGTGTAAACGCAGGCTTTTTCTCCTTAAAATAAGAGATTCGTGTTGGATCATTGTAATTTTCTCAAACTATCTTTTAAATGTGTCAGTAGTAACAGATTTAAATTCCTCACTCCACAGTAAATAGTCATATTCTTCTTCTCGGTTTCTGATTATTACAGCAGATAGCTTTCAAAAACCTGGTGCAGAGGAATCGGCAACATGAGCAGCAGAACCAGGGCCCACCAGCTCTGAACTCGACCATCCAGCTGCCATTCATCGTCATCAACACGAGCAGGAAAACCGTCATAGACTGCAGCATCTCCAGCGACAAGTGAGCAGGCAGTTCGGGGAAGGGCTCAGGTCTGGCCACCTGCTAACCCCTCCCCTCTGCTTGCAAAATAAGAGATGGGTGTCCCCAGTAGCTGCAGCCCCTCGGCCCCTGGAGGGCCTGCTCAAACCAGGCTCTTCGTGCTGCCACCGTAGGCAGAGTGTGGTCGGCCCAAGCCGTGTGTGTGTGTGTGTGTGTGTGTGTGTGTGTGTGTGTGAACTCTGGGCAAGTAGCTGCAGAAAGTCAGACCATCAGTGAGCTCTTTATTCTGCATTATCCTACTTGAGTGCACTTCTGTTTATTAATGAATGAGTAAGCGTGAAAACATTGGTCCTATTTTCTGCTCTATCTACTAACTAAGATGGGTGATATGTTTCATCCCAGCAAGTGATAAATAGGACCTTTCAAAGTACCAAATTTAATTTGCGCTTCACTTTACCTTTCATGAAAACATCTTAGATCAATGGGCTTCAGGTTGTGACCAGGGACTTTCCAATGGAGGGTTAAGGTGAGGTGTGCAGAGGGTGGCAGGCTCCTCAGGGTTGTTTTCTCAAGAACATGTGGGGCTGTAGCACGTTTTACATCACATCCCAGGTTGGGGAGGCTGATGAGACAATGCCTATAAGAGTCTGACTCAAGGCAAGTGCTTTGAAAATGTTAGCTGTTGCTACAGAGGTTAGCATATAATTAATCGTCCAAATTAGGATACTTTTAAAAACACTGGTAATTAGCATGTGGGCAGCCAGCATATCCCTGGACTGTCTCTGGGAGGCCAGACTTCAAGTCTCTTCCGTACCGCCATAGCTCCACCCTATTTCTTCTACTCCTTGCTCTGGCACGCAGTTCCCCTATCTGTCTCTGAGATCTTGAGAGGTCCTGGGTCAGTTAAATACGAAAACACACACACAAAGAAAAACAAGGAACTTCAACAAATGGATGATCAAGCCCGCATAAATAAGAAGCAGTAGTGAGTGGGGCACTGCGGTGTACGCTGTGAAGCCTGCTGACCCAGGATTTTCAGTTTCCCTCCAGCTCTGAGATCCCATGTCTTCCTCTGTAAAAATAAGAATTATAGTATCTATCTTGAAGGCTTATGAAAGTTACAGATAAATTCAACAAGAACCCAGCTCAGTATGACTCACACACTTGTGAGCCCTTTGCACCCACCAGCAAGGGTGTTAGCTTGGGCTCAGAAAAAGGAAAAACGGCAGCAACAACTGAGAAAATCCTAGAAAACAGGATATTTTCTAGAGGGGGATGGGTGCCCTGCTAGAATTCTAATTATTCTCTCTAGTTCACCTCTTGTTCTGTGAGAAATTGTTCAATTCTCTCCTCGGGTTAACCTTTATTTCCAATTTAAAAGGGGTGATGTTAAAGTCTGAGGGCCATTGATCTAAGGGAGTTATGGATTCTGTCCACCCAGGCTGAGATCTGATACGGTTTCTGTCCCCTGGCTGTTTGTTATTCGTGCCCTTTCCAGAACCTTCCCAAGTGGAGGGAAGGCGTCTCTGAGTAACTCACTGCCATTGAGCCAATGCCATCTCACAGTGACACCAGAGGACAGCTTAGTACTTTATCTTTCATGTCAAAGCTATAGATAACTTTGAAAAGTATTGAGTTTTAGGACAAAATATCTGAATCCTGTTTGCAACAGTTTATAAAGATATCTCAAATTTATGTGGACCCCTCTTGTCTCACAAGAAAGATGTTTTAACTGGGAGAGTGGTTTATTTGAGATGTCTTTCCCCTGAAAGGAGCCGTGGTGGCATAGTGCGTTATGTGTGGGTTATGTGTGCTAACCTTGAGGTCAGTAGTTCGAAACTACCAACTGCTCTGCAGGATCAAGATAAGGCTTTCTGCTTCATTAAAAGAGTGAATCATCTCAGAAGCCCACAGGCCAGTTCTGCCCTGTCGTGTGAGTCAGAAATGACTCGATGGCAGCAGGTTCCCCCGAACTTGTCGCCACTCCAGTGGGGCTGTGCAGTAGGCACTGGGCTGCCAACCACAGGTCTGCAGTGCACACGCACCATCCCCTCCCCAGGTGTGCGCTCCAGGAACGATTCGCCCCAGGCAGATGGGGTCGCTAGGAGTTGGAGTTGACTTGATGGCAGTGGGTTTAGTTTGGGATTTTTTTCAAATCCCCTGAACACAGCAGAATGGTTTTTACTGTTTCGAACAGTAGCAGTACTGGACTCAGAGATAGGAATACTTGTCAGGATGGCCCAAGGCCAGGCAGTGTTTCCTTCTGTACACAGGGCTGCTACGAGTCCAGAAGCAACTCGATGGCGTACCTAAGAATAGTCATACCTGAGCTCAGGCCTGTGGTCTTCTTCGCCGTGCACGGCACAAGTTTTCAGATCCCCGTACCACCTAACACCCCGTACTAAAACATTATGGCTGGTTGCAGGTTCGAATACCTTTTTAATTTTGACAACACCTTTGAGATCCATGATGATATAGAAGTCTTGAAGCGAATGGGAATGTCCTTTGGTCTGGAGTCAGGCACGTGCTCCCTGGAGGACCTGAAACTTGCTAAATCCCTGGTGCCCAAGGCCCTAGAAGGTTACATCACAGGTAAGGGATGCTTCCACATGCTGCTCCCGGGTCACTGTCAGGCCCTAACTTGCTAAAACTATCATAGGGAGAACTGTGTGATCTTTTTGAAACGCTTATACTTGTTAAACCAAATTGAGACTTTTAACACTAATAATTAATATACAGGTATGTATATTAATTTTCTCTATATATGTAAAATGGATTTTTAAAAATAATATGGTTCTGGATTGGGCATCCTCATCGTGCAGTGGTTTAAGGGCTTCGGTGCTGGCTGGAGTTTGAACTCACCAGCCACTCCAACGGAGACAGGTGGTGACAGCCTGCTTCCGTACAGGGCACCGTCTTGGCACCCCCATGGGTATGTGCCAACAGTGAGGAATCCTTTATGAAGGAAGGGTGGTAGTGGCCGCTTAACTTGAGGAATGTACTCAGAGTCACAGAGTTGTACATGGAACCAATGTGATGTATGTCTTGGGGTGCATATTTCCAACAAGAACAGAAGAGAAATTATTTTAAAATCAGTGAGATAAAATATGGGATACTCTGAATTGTCAAGCAAAGCGCACCAGGAAAAGACATGTCAGGAGGGAGAAGACGTCTTGGAGGAGTGGCAGCATTGAGCTCACTGTGGTGAGCAGGAAGTCTTGATGGAAGGGGCAGGCGGACTGGGGCAGAGGGTGGGGGTGTCCCTCTTACCGCAGACACCTCTGATTGGACTTTCTCTCCATCCGCTCCTGGCTTTGGCCAGTCGCTGTGTGTCCAGCCAGCTGCTGAAGGCCCTGTAATCACGGTACTCCCTCAGCAGTGCTCTGAACTTGCTTCCCAATGGGTCTTATTTTTGAAGAGATGGTAGGAAAGAGTTTATGATTGTTTTCATGTAAGTTGTCTTCCCTTATATCTGCCTCCTACTGTTTTCTTTCTTTTATGGTCTAGAAGAAACTTTGTTTCCCCCTCAGGGAAGGAGAGCTACCCTCTTTCATTAGGAGCAGGCGTAGGCCCAGGCGTTTCTGTGCCTTCTTCACCCCGTAACCACGGCAGCCCCTGGACTCACAGAGCCTGCATTTTCCTTTAGATATCTCCACAGGACCCTCTTGGTTAAATCAGGGACTATTGAATGCTGCCCAGTCCGTTTCCAATTTAGAGCTGACCACTGGTGCCCACCTGCCCCAGGCAAGGTACGTATCTTTCCAGTTGGCGGGCAGTGCACGAAGCTCTGGCCCACGTGGAAGGGGAGAGACAGTGTGGAAGCGTGGCCGCGGCCGTGGATTAGCCCGGGCCCTCAGCAGATTCGCGGCTGATGGTGCAACGGCACCGCCTTCCTAGGTGTTTAGTTCTGTTTCCTCCAGAGCCCCAAACATGTCATGTTAATGAGCCTCTATGTTTTTAATTGTTTGCTAGTGTAAACCCAGGGTTGTGCTTGGATGCTGAAGTGGCCTTAGCAACTGGGCAGTTCCTTGCCCCGAGCAGTCACCAGTCCAGCAGTGCAGCCTCCCACTGCTCGGAGTCCCGTGGCGAGACCCCCTGCTCCTTCGACGATGACGACGAGGACGAGGACGAGCCCTCCTCCCCAGAATAAAGACAGGAGCACCCCGCCCTTGTTACCTGATGCTCGTGTGTGTTTGTCGTGTGAGCTCTTGTATTTTAAATGATCGCTTAAGTCTTTGCCTTTGTTTGCACTGTGCATTTGGTGAAAACTAGAGAGTCACAATAATAAGCAGATTTCACAGAGGCTAAAATGATCACGATAAAAGTTACAGCATAGTGTGACTGGAAACGCTGCCTGACAGAACAATCAGTCACATTGCAAACAAAGCCCATTTCGAGGTGAGAGAGGAGCCACAATCCCTGGAGAATTGGCAGCGTGAACGAAGCCGGTTCGTCTTCCGGGAGTGGGTCATGGTGTCCCCTCACATCCAGGTAATCTTCCCTGGAATTGAGATGGCCGCAGGCAGCAGTCCGTGGCCAGCACGTGTCTCTCCCAGCCCGGGCCGCCTTTACAAGAGTTCCCAGTAAGGAGAGTTGTGCACGAGGGCTGTCAGTGGACGAGCCTTGTGGCCTACGGAGCACGGGTGGAACTGCTGAACTAGTTGAACGTCCATTGGAGGTGCTTTATGCATCAGCTGCCTTAGACAGCTTCTAGAAAGGAGCGAATGCTAATTCTTAAGTACGTAAGTGATATTTAGAATAATTTATAGTAAAACAAATGATCCTTATTAGCCATGCATTGGTGCATAGAATATATTAGTGCTGTTTCTGGAAGCCAGCCTAAAATAGGATTTCCATGTGCGTTAAATACTCAGCCAGCACTGCCTTCTGCCAGCATTCTGAACCGGGGCCTTCCCTCGTGTCAGTCGTGCGTTTCTATAGCTTTTCCACTTAGAGCAAAGAAAGCCCCGTACCCAAGCTGTTGGGCTACAGATGTCTGCGCAGTGGGATGATTTCACTCCGTGGACACGTTTGTGAAACTGAACCAAATGTTATTACTTCTGTCTTAGGACTCTGTTTCAAGAATATGAATGGCAATGTTTTCCTGTACGCTCGCGTTTTGTACATTTTATTAATCAAAATTACTTCATTCGGTGGTTTTTCTGTTTCGTTTTGCTTGGTAAACTGCGTCTCAGTTTCGCCCGCCATGCGCTGTTTCATGAACACATTGAAAGATGTTGCACACTCCAGTTTGGCTTCTCGTAGGGGCGTATGTGCCCTGTTGCTTTACCGCCAAAGATCCTATTAGTAATCCCACACTGGTGTGGGAAGGGGACACCCGCCACCGAGGCCCAACAAGGAAGTGGGTGGACCGGGACCTGCAAGGCGCGGAATACATGTAGTCGTCCTGGAGAGTGGGTGAGCTGGAATAACGCCACAGCAGGTCTCGAGAAGCGCAAACTCGGGGTGGAAGGATGAACTCTAAAGCCCTGATGGAAAGAAGGACTGTAAGACGGACTGCAGTGCTTGGTGCTCCTTGGTCATACTTCTCGCACCCGTGAGCCCAGCAATGAGCTCCCCGCCAACTGGCCCTCTTTCCCAGTTCCCTGGGGAGGTGCAGGTCGCTCTTGGGATGGCTCATCCCGCTGTGCACTCACGCAGCTGTGGCTGGCCTCACATTCTTAGGAAGGTTGGGAAACCGTCTCCCTGAGCTCCAAGGGGCCCAAAGAGGCCACTAGGCACAGAGAGGTTTTCAGTCTTCAAAATCGCCCATAAGGAGGCCCGGGAGCACAGCAGTTCGAGCCTCGGAAACAAGCTGCTCACGCTGTCTGGATTCAGCCAGGGACACAGGGCCAGGCCGGAGAACGTGTGAGAGAATTCTGTTTCAGGCGGCTTCTGGTCAGGCAGGTGGCACCCGGCTCTGGTCGCTGAGGCTGGCGGGGAACCACCAGCTGTGCAGGTCAGGTCAAACCAGGGTTCCTCCAGTCATTTCTGAAGGGCAGCCTGCTCCTTTGGTGACTAACCATCCTTGCCCCTGAACTTCAGGGACCTCAGAGAGGGCAGTGAGCATAGCTTGTGTTTATATCCTCAGAATAGTGTGTCACAGTCACAAGATATATTTCCATACTCGTAACAAACTCATTGGTTGTAGCCATTTTCCAGAACCCTCCATCGGGTTCTTGGGAAACGACCCCCTTTTCTACTCTGCTCTCTGCTGCTGTCGTGCTTTCCATGGATGAAATATTATATAGTGGGCTTTTAGAAAAATGCACCCCAAGTCTCTTATCCTTCTTGGTGGCTCTTCCTTGCCATCCTGGCCGCAGGACATGGTGTCTCATGGCCGATGGCCTCTGCTCCCACAGTGCACGTGGGATACTGCTGAGGACCCACCTGGGGACCCGCACCTGTGACTGATGTGAACTGACCTCAGGCAAAAACTGTTTGAGACGTCATCTTGTCACTACACTTTCTTATTGACCTGAGTCTAAAATTCAGCACCAAGTCACAATTTCATAGAGGAATTCAAATGGAAAAGACACCAGGGCTTACCTAGAGGAGTAGCACCCTAGGCGCCAAAGATGCACCCAAACCCGCCACTCCCAGATGCCCTCTGCTGGGGGTGGGGGAGTGACGAGGCCCTCGCTCCTTGGGAGCACATGGGGTGGCTGCCCTTCCAGCAGTGTCTCCAGTCAGTCACTTCCTGCCACAGAGCTCAAGTGCAGAGCCCGGGGGTAAAATCTGCCTCGGGCTCAGCAGCCTTTGGGGCCATCTGCTTTGCAGGTGACACCCCTCACCTCCTTCCCTTGATAGCCCTGCTGCACCCGGTCTGGCTGACGGGAGCGCTGGTCTGGATGGTGCCTTATGGTCACAGAGGGCCTTGGGGAGGGGCTGGACAGGAGGCTGTCTTGACCACATGTTTTGCTTCCTGTAGTTTAATTCAGCGATTCTCAATCTGTGGGTCATAACTCCTTTGGGGGTCGCCAGATTCATAACAGCAAAATTACAGTTATGAAGTAGCAATGAAAATAATTTTATGGTTGGGGGTCACCACAACATGAGGAACTGTATGAAAGGGTCAAAACATGAGGAAGATTGAGAACCACTGGTCTAATTTGTTATGTAAGTGGTGGGGAGAAAGTCCATGGAGCTGAGATGAAAGAGGGCAGGGCTCCCCATTAGGTTCACAGCTGTCACCATACTCGGCCACACTTGACTGTAATGCTAGGGGAGACCCTCGACACAACAGCCTTTCCTGGGGTGCATTGTATGATGTGGTAGCTTAGCTGTGGGGGCGTCTCTAGCTGCTCTTTGCTAACCCACCCCGCCTGTTAGGGTGTTAGACACTAGAGATACAGATGTGACCTGGGTCCCTAGTACAGTGGGGACGCCGAGCAGGGGTGTGCAGGGAGGCATGCTAATCTTATCTAGTAGCAGTGATGGGGACTGCCCCAGCTCTGCCACACCCTGCACATGCACAGGACGGGAGAGAGAAGTCTATTTAACTTTAGAAAATACTTGTCTCAGGCCCCTTTAAATACTTATCAAGCATTCTTCAGGCATATGAAATCAGCAACCAAATAAAATAGGCTGCCCCTAAACGGTGAACTTAAAGGGGCAGGCCCCCACACTACTGTCTTGGCGGTATGTAGTGAGTGAGGATTAGGCAGTGAGTATAAGTAGGCATTCATTCATTAAGTAAATACTGTATATACTCATGTATAAGGTGAGTTTTTTCAGCACATTTTTAATGCTGTTTTGTGGTAAATTAGGTGCCTCCGCTGATATTTGAGTCGGCTTATACTCGAGTATATGTGGGACCTCCATAATGACTGCTGGCTGTACACTTTCTGGGGTCTTCTGGTCTTTTTTCACCTTTTCTCACTAAAAATTTTGTCTAATGACACGTTTTTCACAATGCTGCCTTTTCAAAATGTTCCTAAAGTGAGAGACAGCATTTTAATTGGCCAGGCTCACAATTCTGTCTCTCATTGCCTTATCTGGGTGGTGGTGCATCCAGAAAGTGGCCACTTGATCCATGTAGCATTCGGTTCTTTCATTAATGAACTAGGACCTCCCGCCTCCCAGCCGGAGGATACATCCTCGGGGCTCCTGAAGTTCTTCAGTGGGGAGCGCGCCTTGGGCCCTGTACCAGCGCCTCTTGCTGGGGATAAAACCCTGCCCGGGCCTCACGCACTGTCGGCCGTTCTTTCCAAACCGGCCTCAGAGCACTTCGAACCTTGTCGAACATTTTTCTTTAAATCACGAAGGAGGCTTTTCGCCTGCTCACACCTAACTGTCCGGTATCGCCCTCCACTCGTTTCTGTTATGCAAATTAACAGGACCGCGCCAACTTCCCCATTGCTCTGGGTTCTTTGTTTCCTGGTCAACAATTGCACACCTTTTGCTCTATTAATTGTGTGGATCACTTTTTTTCCCCCGTCCAAACTTGATGGTGTTGCTGTGGTCGTGTTTTCAGCCACCAAGCCAACAACCTGATGCAGATTTCCTTCTCGTGATTCTCAGCTCGCCTGCTGCCATCGCGAACTTTCTCTGGAGCCATGCTAGGGTAGTTCACGCAAATAAAGCACAGAGACCCCACGGACGAATGCTGGGGTGCACGAGCGCAGCCAGTGCAGCCCCCTTTGTGTCCCTGGCGAGAGGCGGACTCTTGCACTCTCGGCCTATACAGGTGTTTCGGTTGGATTTTTGGTGTATCAATCAAAGTCAGGAACACAGCAGATTTTTCAGACTGTTCTGTTCAAGCAGTGAAAAGGTTGGGCATGGAGCGGTTTGACAGCTGAGGCACCGTTGTATTCCGAGTCATGTGCCGTGGGAAAAACAAGCCACGGGGCAGTGGGACAGGAAGTGAAAGCACCTTTTGCCACGGTGGCCCTGGTTGATCCAGCTGAGAAAGTGACTTTTGTCCTGAATCTACCAAATTGAAGGACACCCCCCCTCCCCGCCCCCCCAGCATCCTCATGCACGGCTGCACCCATGTGCGTGGAATGCTATGACAGTCCAAAGGCCCTGTTCCATTTGAAGCAGGCATTTGGGGTTCTGTTACTTAAAAAGAACGTTAACTTTTCTATCAGCAGTGTCCCTAAACGCAGGAAAGAGTCAAACCACACCCACTCTTCACTCACCCACAGATTTGCTTAGTTGGTTAGGTTCTAACGACAGCATTATATGGAAATTGATGTTCTCAAAAATGGTTATTATGTAACTACCAAATTTGTGTCATCGCCTAGCTGCCAAACCACCAAGGGTCATCACCGAGCCAAGTTGACAACCGTAACCACCACAACCGGTGCAACTGGAACCTCCCATTGGTTAGGGCCAGATGTACGGAACAGGCTCGGATTTCTCATTATTGTCAGTGTGAGATTTCAGATGAGGCAAGTGGGGAGTAGGTGTTACCACTTGTTACTTTCCAATTAAGGAGCCCTGGGGGTGCAGAGATTAAGTGCTCAGGTGCTAATTACATAGCATGGGAGAAAGCCTTGGCCCCCCTATAAGGCAGTCCTTCCTACCTGTAGGGCTGCTGTGAGTGGTAATTTGACTCAACAGCAATGGGTTTGCTTTATTTTGTTTTTAATCTTCCAGTTGAGCCTACAGAGTAGAAAAGTGATTAGAAATGGGAAGTGTTTCTTCACATTTGAAGCTGTTGCATGCAGATGATTTGCTTGTATCCTGCCCGTGGGCCAGCTCTGCTAGAGCCAGGGACTGCCTGAGGACCACTTGTTCAGAAGGAGGCCCTGTTCCCATGCACCCAACGGAATGGCCCCAGCACCGTGGTACCTTGTGTGATGTATGTTGTGCCAGAGGCCTGCGCCTCATGGTTTGGGCCACTACGAATCTTGCCTGCCTGTCCCCTAACACAGCCCTTCGCCAGGGTGCCAGGGAGGTGCTAACATGCCCCATGCTGCTGCTGCTTTTGTTCAGTGTACACTCATGCCAAACACTCTTGCTCAAGAGGAGGAAGCCTGATGATTTCTTGCTGAAGATGTGAGCTTTTGCGAAGTGGCCACGTCCACGCTTAACAGTCTCAGGTGATAGCCCCATTTGCATAACCAACAGCTCCAGAGTGATACATAATCTCGAAGAGCTACCTTTTCACATCCATCTGCACCCATGCTCTGGAAGGAAAAA